TGTAAGAACCTAGAAAATTAAGAACCTCCTGGCAGAAATTTGCTACTTTAATACCCCAAAATATAAGAACCTGTTTAGCCAAAAAAATTCCAACAGGTTCTTATATGCGGGGTTAAACTATTTTATTTATAATATTTTACCAAAAAGGTTGTCTTTAGAGATCAAAAAATTGCACAGTGAAACTAAAAATGCACAATGTATGTTAAATGTGAACTGTTGTTATAAAACAATTCGGCTACAATTAAAAGAATGTATCATTTGTATGTAATCTTGGTCTTGGTTTAAGTGTTCCATGCCTGTATCATCTTGCAGCCCATTTTTATATAAACCAGTACAGAAGACACAAAGCCATTTCTTGTTACAAGTTTAGATCTGGCATTTTCTGATATTTGAAATATCAAGATGACAAGTTGGTTCCCCTTTCTTTAGACTTGTTACCAGTTTCTCCAAGTAGTTTGAATTTCCTGTCAGTCTATAGTCCACTGGAAGCTCAAGTCCTTTCCCTTCTCCTCTGTTGTACCGGACACCAATGCATTCAGCTTCAATATCCCCATTGTCAGCCAAAAATCTACTAAAAATCTTGGAGAGCTCCCTTGGGACATGTCCAACTAATAGTTGAGCCTCACTTTTAACAGCAATGACATATTTGTCATGAGCATTGTTGTCTTCTGTTTCACAAGCTAGCACCTCTCCAATGGTTACAGAAGCATCCACAAAATAAGCATGATAGCCACGAACACTAGACTTTATAAATACTTCATACTCTTCTCCCATAGTTTGATGAACAAAATAAGAATAGAACTTTCGACTAAAGTCACAAAAATGGAAGGAATTATACTTGATTTACCCAGCTGTAGCTTAAGTTCAAGCCAACTTCGGGCCACATCGACAGACAGATTTGCAAGGCGTTCCTTGTTGTTTTCGATAAGCAGAAGAAAGGCACTGAGAACGGGCGTGGAAGTAGCAAGCGAAAGTCTTACACAGTAGAGTTCAAGAAACAAACCCTTGACTTATTGGACTCTCTCGCCAATTCAAAGAATAAGTGGAAAAAAGTGGCTGATGAAAAGCAAGTGAGTAAATGCCTCGTTGTGAAGTGGAACAAAGCAAGGGAATCAATTTTAGCAGAAATCTCTAAAAACAAACACAAGAGAAATGCAGGCAGTGCAAGAGAAGCAAGACGCAGGAGACAAATGGTTGACAAGAAAGCCCAGAAAAGTGAGAAATACCCTTTGGCTGCTAACCTTCTCATCACTGAATTTAAGCTGAGGCGAGCAAAGGGCAGCAAAATATCTAAGTTTTGGCTTAAGACTAAAATGAAAAAGAAAATAGAGAGCTGTTATGGGAAAGAAGAAGCAGATAAATTTAAGGCAAGCAACAATTGGTTTCAAAGGTTTAAACGCAGACACAACATTTCCTTGAGAAGAAGAACAAACAGAAAGAAGAATGCAGCTAATGATGGCAGAGAAACAATACAAAGGTTTCATAGAGACCTAACGAAGGCAGTACAGTCCAAACGAAGAAGGGACAGCTCGTTTGTTGCAGATCAAACATATGGTCGGTGGCTCCCAAAGAATAGACTAAATGTTGACCAGGTCCCATTGCCATTTGTTGCGGAACAGGATCAGACACATGAATTTGAGGGAAACAAGCAAGTCTGGATCTCCCAACCAGGATCGGCCCTAGACAAGAGGCAAGCGACCCTCCAGCTATGCATAAAGGCAGAGGGAGAGCAAACAGTCAAACCTGCCATAATTTTCAGGGGAAAAGGAAATGTTTAAGTGCTGAACAAGAGAAATATGATGCAGATGTGCATGTTTACTTTCAGTCTAATGCATGGATGGATGCTGAGGTCAACTTGAAGTGGACAAAACATACTTTGAAGGATGGACTTAAGGATGATTTTAATACTGAGAAAGTGTTGTTTGCAGATAATGTTGGCTTCCAACAAACACAGGCATTCCATGAAGCAT